TAGGCTGCATTGTGGAGCACAGATCCACTGAGAAACTTGCTGTTTCAGCAACATTTAATTTAAAAACTGTACTTTTGAGGTTAAACAAATGTTCATAATTAATTTCAATAAATTACAAGTTAAAAGGGGCATGGACATTTCTCTTTTTTGTATCGAAAAAATATCGAACCGTGAGACTAAAGTATCAAACCGAATCGAATCGTGAATTGTCTGTTTCATTGCAACCCTACTATCTATCTGTCTGTCTGTCTGTCCATACTTATATATAAAGGGTTAAAACAGCACAAGTAGTTTAATTACAAACAACATTTATAAGCAGGGGTGAAAAATACTGAATTACATTTACTTGTGTTACATATTGAAGTATGAATTTTGTGTAATTTGTACTTTTTGAGTAATTATGCCAATCTATACTTTTACTTGAAGGTTTTATTTCAAGTATTTCACTTCAGTTACATTTGAACACCCATCCGTTACTGACTAAAAAAATCTGACCTAAAGTAAACATGTGAATTAATAGCAGGAGGGGAACAAAGGCACACCATCAACGATTGGCTCAGTTCCTCATTGGTCAGTGTGATCAGGCTAAAGGTGAGTTCTGAATATAACCAATGCTCCCTGAGGGAGGGAAACAGGGTACAACACATGAGTAAGGGGATTGTGCCCTCGAAAGACCAACTGAAGAAGTTTCTTTCAACATGCCTGTCAAGGCCAAAGAGACTTGTTGCATGTATCAACAGGAGGTCCTGACCTCCTGGATATAAGATGCAGCGCTGTCTCATTTCCTGAATCTGCAACACATTTTACTTTGCCTCTGAAAGCACAGCCCGCTGATGTGTCTGTGATTGCAGGTCCTGCACTAGCTGAACTTTAAAGCATGTAGTCACTAGTACATGTGATTCTCATCCAAGATGGCACCACGCACGGTCACCCTGGTGTTCTGGTGCTCTCTGTTTTGTCTGCATTTGTGCGTTAGTCTTCATGCTCCCACACCCAGGAGGAGCTCCTAAACATCAGAACTCCAACCCAAACAGATATTACACCATAAGGCTGCAGGTCCAGACTGTGTGTCTCCCTCCACCCTGACTGTGCTGATGAGCTGGCCCTGGTCTTCACAGGTATCTTCAACTCTTCTCTGGAGTCATGTCATGACCCAGCCTGTTTCAAGTCCTCCATCATCGTCCCTGTTCCCAAGAAGCCACGTGTCACAGGACTCAATGACTACAGGCCTGTGGCTCTCACACCTGTAGTCATGAAAACCTTTTAACGGTTGGTTTTATCCCACCTCAAGTCCATCTGCAACCCTCTTCTGGACCCTCTGCAGTTTGCCTACAGAGCCAATAGGTCTGTAGATGACACCATGAACCTGGTTCTCCACTTCATCCTACAGCATCTGGATTCACCAGGAACCAACACCAGGATCCTGTTTGTGGACTTCAGCTCTGCATTCAACACCATCCATCCTGCTCTGCTCCAGGACAAGCTCTCTTTGCTCCATGTACGTGACTGCACCTGCAGGTGGATCACAGATTTCCTGACAGACCGTGCTGACGGACCAGCGAGTGCAGCTGGGGAAAGTTGTCTCAGACACACAGACTATAAGCACAGGAGCTCCACAGGGCTGTGTTCTCTCCCCTCTGCTCTTCTCCCTGTACACTAACTGTTACACCTCCAGCCATGACTCTGTAAAACTAGGGGTGCAACAATACATGTACCCGTATCGAACAGTATCGAACAGTGCTGTATCGAACAATACAGATTTAAAAAATTTACTTTGTCAACTTGTCTTCTGAAGATGCTCTGTGTTGAAGGATCAGTGGATCTGTGTTCAACTACTCCACCTAGGCTGCATTTTTGAGTGCAGATCCACTGAGAAACTTGCTGTTTCAGCAACATTTAATTTAAAAACTGTACTTTTGAGGTTAAACAAATGTTCGCACTTAAATGGGCAATTTCATTTAAAATCAACTTTTTTGAGTTTTATATCATGTTATAATGTTACACTCTCATATAAAAACATGTCCAAAGCCTTGCTT